AATAGAATATATTAGAAATCAAATTCCCAGGCCCCCCCCCCCCCCTTGCCCTGCTCCTGACCTACTGAAACAGAAATACTCCAGGGGTGGGGCCCAGCACTCTGATGTCACCATTTCTCCAGGGGATTCTGGTGCCTGCCTAGGTTGGAAAATCCCTGCCTGGTCTCCAGAACTTCCTGCACCACGGGGGTAGCCATTTCTCAGGCTTTCGCTTCTTTAATCCCCTCTGTGGTGACCAGCACAAGTGTTCACTAAATGATATAAAATTAATTGGAATCAAAATAGACAAAGGAGAGATAACTGAACTACAGAGACAATGAAGACTTAATTCTGGGGCTTCCATCCATCACGTGCTGGGATTACTGACAGCCAGAATAGGATAACATAAATCTTTGCAATTAAAATAAAAGGCGTCTTGAGAGGAAATGTCACTTGAGCAACATTGCACTTGCCCTAGGTAGCAGAGCTTGCTAAGTGATTCAATCCTATGATTGTTGGGGACTTTCGAGAGATGAGTGTGGTTGAAGGTAGAGGCTGGCAGGGGAGAGGCAGCTTCTCACGGTTTCCACGTCCCCACCAGCCCCCCACCCTTATTTAACTCAGAGGTCAGACATGGAGCTCTTCACACCCGGGTTTCAGGCTGGCTGCCTCGAAGCCATTTTCTTGTGGTTTTCCTGTGGTTAACCTCGCCAAGGCCTCAAGTACTTGATTGTGCCCAGAAAAGGGAACTGAAACAGTAGCTCAGCCGTGGGTGGGATGGCCCGACGTCCCCCCCAAGCTGCCAGCTAAAACCCACTCACCACCCACTGCAGCCCAACAGGGCAGCTGGGACTGTTCAGGGCTGCTGCAGCCCCCACCGGCTCTCACGCCCAGCACTGGAGAGCCCCCCCGCCTTCCCACTCTCCTTTGGCACCTTCTGACAGCTCCGGTCCATCCTGGACATACTTCTGATGTTAACATTTCTTTCTCAGATTTCTGAAAATTGGCCCTCTGTTTCTCTTCTAATCCTGGTTTCTGGTGTGTTCTGTGTAAGTTACACTGCCTAACCCAGGCCAAGGCAGACCTCTGCGCCCGTCCCTAGGCCTGCAGCTGTGTTTCCCTCATCTGGGCAGTTATTCCACCACATCCATTCACCCGATACAAATAGAAGTGCTGAGGAGGGCTGGGGACAGAGCAGAGTTGTAGTGTAGGCCGGTGGTTTGAAAATGTCAACAGTGAGTCACGAGGGAGCTTGTTCCAAAGGTAGGTTCCTGGCCCTGCCATCCAAGATTCTGATGGAGTAGATGTGGGTGGGCAGCAGGATCTGACTGGAAACAAGCACCCCAGGTGGTTTCAGGAACCATGCTGAGAAACAGGGACTGTAGCTGCTTTGGAGTCAGACCCGCCTGATCCGCATGGCTCTGTGATCTCATGCAAGTTACCTAACCTCTCTGAGCCTCCCCTAATTTGTCAAAGGAAAGGGTTGGTTGTGAGGACTAAATGAATTAATTCATGTAAAGAGCTTAGTGCAGGGTCTGGCATTCGTAGTTATTAGTGTTAATAATAATAAAAATTATTATCCTTGACTGTTTTCTGGGAGGAAGTTAACACAATATAACTGCTTCATAAAATTTAGTTATTGTTATTGTTAGTTTCAGTAAGACAGAGGCCCTGCCCTCGAGGAGCTTATATCAGTGGTGCCTAGAGAGTGAACCGTTCTAGGAGCAGATGAATCATTCCTGAGGTTTTGGTGTTTGATCCAGGTCCAAAGCAAACAGAAGAAAATCCTAAGATAATAAAACATACTCTAAACTTTTTTGACTTTCTTCATTCACCTAAATGCTGGTACTTTTGGCTAATTTAGTGCTCAGAGCCCTTCCAGAAAATAGAGCAATGAAACTCTAAAAAAATGTATCAAGGGCTGGCCAGTTAGCTAATTTAGTTAGATCAAGGGTTCAGATCCCTTTATTGGCCAACTGCCCCCCCCTCCCCCCCAAAAAAGTATCATTGTTTTGGTGTAAAATTGAACAGAAAAAAGGAGATCAAAGTGCTCAACTAAGATAAGTGTGGTTTTTGTTTTTGTTTTGCTTCCTTTTGTTTTATGATTATATGTGGGGCATAAAACCTACTGGGTGGATTTGTAAATTTCACCTCACTAGTGATTTCACCCACTAATTTTGACCTCATAACATTTTAATGCCACAGAAAGGAAGGAGATCTGACATTAGTAAAGTGCTCTGTGCTACAGTTTGAAGAGATCACAGCTAAAAGTGTCACCACATGAAGGTGGCCGAGTAGTTTCCTAAAGTCCTCACCTGATGGCATTTCCTGGGGCCACCTTAGTGCTCAGCCTCACAGCCTTTATTGCACACCGAGTTGAGAGGCTCAGGGTAACTCATGGCAGCCAGATTCACGAGATGTTGGTACAGAAACCAGACATGCATTCACTCATTTGTTTGTTTTTACTTTTATACTGAGGCGTAACTTATGTGCAGGCACATGTGTTTAGTGTACAGCTTGATAAATTTTAAAATATATAAACACCACATCACCACCACCCAGAAAAGAACAGAATATTTCCACCACCCAAAAAGGCTCCCTCATCCCTCCTCCAGTAAAGGTAACTACTGTTCTTGGTGATTTATTATTATATAAAAGAGGGAAATATGTCAGGGTGGGTATCGGCGCGTCTGGGAAGCAGGATGTTATGTGGAGGGTCTGAAATCAGCTTGGGGGTGTTGGAGAGTCAGGCCATGGAGAAACCAACCGAGTTGCCCCCCAGCCACAGTGAGGGCTGGGTTACTGTCTGTTAGATTCAGTGGTGACTCCCATGAGCACATCCTGGCCCTTTGTGTGAACAGGAACATTTTCAGGCTGGAGGACAGAAGAAGAAAGCCCGCCCTTCGTCCAGATGGGATCCACACAACTGCAAAGATTTCCTTTCACTGGATTGCAATCATGTTCAAGTCCAGCGTCCCTGCAATTGTACCAAGGTCACCTTGATTCTGAGATCTGGGTGTTCCCGACTGTTTTGGTTACATATTTACAGTCTGTTGGTTTACTCTCACACATGGCTACTCTTCCAAGAAAGGCTTGAGGAATTTAACTCTTTTTTTTTTTTTAAAAAAAAGATGACTGGTAAGGGGATCTTAACCCTTGACTTGGTGTTGTCAGCACCACGCTCAGCCAATGAGCTAACCGGCCATTCCTATATGGGATCCGAACCCAGGGCCTTGGTGTTATCAGCACCGCACTCTCCCGAGTGAGCCACGGGCCGGCCCTTGAGGAATTTTACTCTTGATGGCAACTTTCTCCTTCTACCAGAGGAGCACTGACAACTCCGTACACAAGATGCACTAAGTGCCACATGTGTTTGGGGTGGTGGGATTATTTGTTTGGCTCCTACTATGCGCCATTCTCTTTATATATTTTCTTACTTAACATTTCCTATGATCCTTTAGGGAAGGTATATTACCCCCATTTGACAGATGAGGAAATTAAGGCTCAGAGAGATGAAGCAAATTCCCCAAGGTCATGGAGCTAGTAAATTGCCAAGAGTGGGGCTCGAGGCAGGTCCATCAAATCCCAGTGTCTGTGCTCTTTCTTTCTCAGAACAGCCATAGACAGTGATTCAGCTAAGTTTCTGCCAAGAAGCGCTAGCCCTGCCTCTCATTTATTCATTCATCGACAAGCTTTTGGCTACCAAATAATGAAATCTGGAAAGTCCACCTCCAGGCTGCTCTGTACAAGGAGACCCTTGATGGGGGGAAACTCATTAGAAAACAATGCATTTTTCAGGGTCAGAGTGGCAGCTTTATCCCATGGTTTGTCGAGTCACCCCAAGTTCTATTTTTGGTTAAATGTCAGTAGGCCGCGCAACTTCTTTGAGCCTCTATTATTAAAGGAACGACCTACTGTGCTTTTTCTGGGGAAAGGCAAGCGCTTTCTATTCTTGCTGTCTTCCCAGAATGACTGCATGCCAGTGCTTGGTAACTAATCCAGGTTTCCTCTCAACATTCCTATTTCTTGGGCAGTGAGGTAAAGGAGAGACACCAGCCTTACAACAGGAGGAGAGAGTTGTCCCAGGTGGAATACGTTTCCCTTCAAACGTGTGATTCCACAGGCTCTGTTATATTATCAAGGGAAGATCTAGGCAGTAGGCTCAAGGCTAGAGTGGTCATTAACTAAATATTTGTTGAGTTGAATTAAATTAGAATAATTGGATGAACACTAGATTAAGAGGGATGTTTCTCTCTGGTAAACAACATGTTCATGTTGTCTTCTGATACCCTTAGTGTACAAGGGTATCTGGGAACTGAATTAGAAAATAGGAAGCTATGAGATGGACCTGACATCAGAATAAAATGGGGATGAGGAAGATAATACACTAAGTGCAAGTTCTACACGTTAGCTTTGTGATTTTAGGCAAATTTCCTTCATCTCTTTGGGGCTCAGTCTACTCTGAAGTTCTGATTAAAAAAACCAAAAAAAAAAAAAAAAAAAAAGTCGGCCAGCCCGTGGCTCACTCGGGAGAGTGTGGTGCTGATAACACCAAGGCCCCTGGTTCAGATCCCTATATAGGGATGGCCGGTTCGCTCACTGGCTGAGCGTGGTGCTGACAACACCAAGTCAAGGGTTAAGATCCCCTTACCGGTCATCTTAAAAAAAAAAAAAAAAAAATGAAAACAATGTGTTAGTTTTCTAAGGCTGCGTAACAAATTACCATAAATTGGGTAGTTTAAAACAATAGAAATGTACTTTCTCACAGATCTGGAGGTTAGAAATCCAAAATGCAATGTGTTGCCAGGGTTGCTCCCTTCTGGAGGGCCTAAGGGAGAGTCTGCTCCATTCTTCCTTCCTTCCTTCGGTTCTGCTGGTTGCTGGCAATCCTAGGTGTTCCTTGGCTCATAGATGCATCGCTCCAGTCTCCGCCTCTGTCTTCACATGGCCTTCTCTCTTGTGTGTCTCTGTCTGTGTCTAGATCTCTTCTTCTCATAAGGAGATACCAGCCATAATGGATTTACAGCCTCCCTAATCCAGTATGACTTTATCTTGACTGATTACATCTGCAAATACTCTATTTCCAAATAAAATCATGTTCTGATGTTCTGGGTGGACAAGAATTTGGTGGGGGGGACACTGTTCAACCCAGTACAACACTCTACAAACGATAAAGCCCTTCTTGTTTTTCCTGAAACTATAGTACTGATGCTTCCATACATAGTGCTTAAAAAAAAAAAAAGTCAGTCTTGATGACTTTATGCTACGTGAAATAAACCAGTCACAAAAAGACAAATACTGTATGATTCCACTTACATGAGGTATCTAGCATAGTCACATCCGTAGAGACAGAACGCAGAAGGGTGGTTGTCAGGGGATGGGGGTAGGGAGGATTGGGGAGTTATTGTTTAATGGGTACAGAGTTTTTGTTTTGCAAGATGAAAAGAGTTCTGGAGACTGCACAACAGTGAGAATGTACTTAACACTACTGACCTATACACTTAAAAATGGTTAACACGCTAAATGTTATATTATGTATAATTTACCACAGTTAACCTGGGAACTGACCACCCTTTATATCATTGCTTTGTTTTGTGTTACGGAAACCTGATTCTGAGCTCCAAAGAACTTTCTCATTGAGCATCATTTGTGCGTGGGTGTCTGCCTGAGCTTCTGTTCTCTTATTCTCCAACGCCTTTAGCTATAACCTGGGCAGTGGTATGGCATCCATCATGGTGAACGGCTCCTTCAACGATGGTCGGTGGCACCGAGTCAAGGCTGTTAGGTGAGTACCCACCGCAGTGTGAAACAGAGCCTGATCTAAGCAATGGGGGGATGTGGCGTCACGTTCTCTTTTAGTCCCACTGTTTTACTCCCCACCCTTGCCTGGCATCCTAGTACCCTTGATCTACGGCACTCAGGGCATTTTGCTACCAACTTCCACCTGTGCCCTTTACTACCATTGACAGGCCAGAAAGGCTGAACCTCCAAATCTTCACTGAACAGTGACCTTGTAGAGAAAAAACTTTTTGATGGCTAAACTGGAGGAGGGCCCTGCTATCTAGTGAGATGAGATTTTGAAGATGCTTCAAATCTCATTGTAGAGGCAATGGCCGCTTTAAAAAAAAAAAAATACCTGAACGTTAGAAGCTGTATGTGGTTCACCCAGCTCCAATTATGTATCTCCCCCTGACAGAGGTAATCACTACCCTGACTTCTGATTAACTTTGAGTCAATCAATCCTTTGCTCTTTATTATAGTTTTACTATATATGTCCATATTCCTAACAGTATATTTTTAGAAATCAAATAGCAGGCTCAAACTTAGAAATGTCAATACTGCATGTTAGATGAAGGTCCCAGGAGAAGATAAGCTGAATAGAGTCTCTGGCTGGGGTTCCCTGAGAACGGACCAGAACCTTTTCTGGGGAAGTCAGTGGCGAGGTCATGAGTGAGGCCTGGGACCTCGGGCTCACCACGATCAGTTTCCTGCTCAGCTCACGTGGGCTGGGATAGAATAGCCTGGCAGGGACCCTTCTGGCCACTGTGACAACCTTTGATACCCTAGAGGAAGTCTGAGGATACAGAGACAGATCTGTGCTGCCCAGGTGGCCTAGAAATCCCTCGAGACAGAGATTTTGATGAAGTCCCAACTCTAACTTGTTGAAAAAGAAATGTTTTCCCATAATGGATATTTACCAGCTTGGACTTCAAATTTGTTCTAAAGTATAAATCAAAATGCACAGCATCCAACCTAACTCCCAAATACTCCGAACTATGTGGCTTCTAAGTTCCTCATTTCTCTCTCATCTGTCTTTAAAAGGGCTTGCACAGAATTATCCAATGGAATATGAAATGCTAGAGCTCTTACCCCAACCACACTTGATCCCTATATCCCACCTTGGGAACACTAGGGAACAGCCTTCTCTCAGTTTCCTTGGGTAGAGACAATTGGTAGAATACTCATACATTATGCAAGGATTTTTAAGCCTTCACAGTTGTTGTGGTTTGATTATGTATATCAAGATACACATTGGTGGAAACATCTAAGGAAACCGTGTTAAATGACTTTCCCATGACAGTACAGCTGTTCGTGGGAAGAGCCAAGATTAGAATCCTAGATCAAAGCCCTTTCTATCCTGCCCCATGATGCAGCCCCCACACAGCTAGGATTTCAGATGTTTGGGAAGGATAAGACAGTGGAATGTTCCACGGGGAGAACTTCAGATGTCAGGGCCCCAAGCTCGGCATCATGCAGATGGCCCAGCAGACTTGGTTCTCCTATAGAAGGTATTACCTCCTATTGGGATCATTGATCTCTCTTTTAGTGGGTCTTAGGTTGCAGTAGGAGCTGAACAGAAGGAGCTGAGCCCTAGAACTGGATAAGTGGGAGAGTCAAGCAGATACTGTGAATTATGAGCAGACAGGCCTAGAAGGGATGGAACAACAGATCTAAGTTGGGATTGGGTTAAGGCCATGGATATTGGCTATGGCAAGAAGGGTTGAGTGGATACCTTAATTCTGTGTAGGAGGCTCCAGGGTTGGAGTTAGAGGATCAATGAAAGAAGATCCTCAAGGGGAGTCCTGCTTTGTATACTGTCTTGCTCTGGGTATTCCTGGTCTTGCAAGCATTAATCCTAGCAGAAAAGAGAAAACAAATTCTCATTTATTAAACATCTCCAGGTGCCAGGTATTTTACATACTTTTTCTCAGTCAATATTCACAGAAACTTAAGTTCTATAATCTTCATTTTATGGATAAAAGTGATATGATGATATTGACAACAGTAACAACACACTCCTCTACCAGTTTTTTTTTTTTTTAAAGATGACCGGTAAGGGGATCTCAACCCTTGGCTTGGTGTTGTCAGCACCACGCTCAGTCAGTGAGTGAACCGGCCATCCCTATATAGGATCCGAACCCGTGGTCGCGAGATGATAGTTTGGTTTTCTCTCATTAGCATGCTATATATCCCTTTTATAAAAATATTGGACATTGGGGCCGACCCCATGGTGCGCTCGGGAGAGTGCAGCACTGGGAGCGGCGCTCCTGCTGCGGGGTCTGATCCTATATAGGGA